AAGGAAAAAGGGGGGGGGGGGGCTATTCTTCTGTGGCGGGGAACCAGGAAGCTTCCCACCACAAGAGAATGCTCCTTCCTGTCGATCAGCTGATTGACAAGAGGGGGTGCATTCTCCTGGGGCAGAAACCCTCCCTGGCTGTCTGTGGCAGCTGCTGCTTGACAGCCTGTCCCTTTCCCAAGCAGGAAAGAGGGCAGGCTCCCTTAAGAGCAGAAGTAGCCCAGGGAACAGCCCTCTACTGCTTCCTAGTTGGAGAGATTGCCTGAGATGCTCTCCTGCCATTGGGCTAGAGGGATATCTGTACAGTCTAGCTCCTGGGGTGTTTTTCTACCAGAAGAAATTTCTTCCAATAGAAATGAGCATCTATTCAGCCTACACTAGCCTATGAATTTAATCCAGAATATGTGAAGGAAAAAATGTCTTCCGGCCTAAAATTGGGGTTCCTAGGCTGTACTCCCTGTCATGGGAAGTCTAAGGAAAGTTCCAGTATTACACAAAGGAGCAAATCCCACATCCTGCTGCAAGGCCATGCAAAGCCTGGAAAGCACTGAAGGGGAGAGGTGTGGTGAACCAGAACAGGATGATTCTGTGCTCTGCATGCATGGCAGTAGTAGAGAGAAAGTGGCAGTACTTTCTCTGACCGGTACATGGCAGTACCAGGCAAAAGTGTTCACACAATAGGAAAAATCCAGATCATTTTTACTGAAAAGAAAATGAAGATACGTATTTATTGAGAGAAATCCTTAGCAAGGCTTGCCTCTGGTGTTTGATGACATATTTACCCATTTGCTAAAATGACCTTTAACATGCCTTAACTGTAACAATGACAAAGGGAATTTTTAAATACTTGCTCAAATATATTGAAAGAGGATAAAACCACCCACCATGAGGAAGAGCCTGGGCAAGGCTCACTGAATCATTTTACCCTCATCTAGATAGAAGTGAGCACAGCAGCTGAGCAGGTACAACCTGGACCACACACATTATGGAAAGAATTTTGATGCCAGCTTTGCAGTCCAGCATCAGACCTGTTATCACCATTCTAATCACGCCTACATTCACTTTACACCCGATACAGTCATCTACCATGACTGATAACTTTCTTTTTTTTTTTTTTAAATGTCATTAATAATTCAGTTTTCTTCTCTAGAACAATTCTTGTTTTAGAAAGCACAGAAATCAGTTTGCCTTAAAAAGCACATTTAACTCATGAGGCACCATGATCTAACACCCAGACTTACCATTTCCTCCCATTAACTGAAGGGCACTCATGCAATGATCATCCTCCTCTTCTACTTCTTCTTCTTCAGCATCATCCTCATGGTTATAGGACACTGGTCCACTCTCTACCAGCACACTCTCTGTTTTTCCCAACTCCTGCACTTCTGGTTGTAAGTCTGAAAAGGTAACCTGCAAAAGGGAACAGGGATACTAGAGCGAGCCTTTCTTTGTATCCAACATTTTCCCTCCCTTTAAAAATCTCCATATAAAAGGGATGGAATAAGTCGGCCTATCACTTTTGTCCTCTATCGAAGTCTAAGCCTAGCCTAAGGAGCTTAACTCTTCTGGGAAACCTTCAAATAGCCAAGTGGAAAGTGCTGTGAATGTGAATCTCAGATAAACACCAAAAGTTTTCAGGTATTTCAAAGCCAGGCAAATACTCAAGCAAAACTTAATAAGATACAATGACAGTTAAAATACAATCCTCACACAAGAGCAAGGCAGAACTAGTCGGAGGCTGGAGGTGTTTTGGCACAGCTCCATGGGGAAGCTTGCCATGCTTTGCTTTACTAGGTTTAGCTCACAAAAAGCTTGTTACAGAATCATACTAGTGCTTAATGATCATCAAAATGCATCCTCATGTCAAGGGAAAAAACCTTGATGGGTATTCATCATACAGATTAGGTTGGTTTGTCTGGAAGCAGAATCAACAGTGCATCAATAGTTCTTGTTAGACAGCACAGCAATATCATAAAAGAGTATTTGAATCATAGAAAACTGAGGTTGGACGGGACCTCAGGAAGTCATCTAGTCCAACCCCATTTCCAAAGCAGGAGCAACCCCAACAAGATCGTCCCAGCCAAAGCTTTGTCTACTCAGGTGTTAAAAACCTCCACGGATGGAGATTCCACAGCCTCTCT